TCCTGGGACCCTGGGATTATAACCTGAACTAAAGGTAAACGCTTAACCAACTGAGCCAAACGTCCCTCAACTGAGTAATTTAAAATTCAAATTGGCTTTATCAAATGATTCATGATCAGGAGGCATCCCATCCAGCAAATAGAAAGGTGCTCAGTGGTGCAGCAGAAAAGGAAAGATTTGGGAGGCCTGGGTGGCACAGCGGTTGAGCGTCTGTCTGCCTTGGGGCCATGGTGTGAGCCTGGAGTCCCAGATCGAGTCCCATATCAGGCTCCCTGCCTGGAGCCTGCTTCTCCCTCTGCCTGTGTCTCTGCCTCTCTCTCTGTGTCTCATGAATAAATAAATAAAATCTTAAAAAAAAAGAAAAGAAAAAGATCTTTTTTTTTTAATTTTTATTTATTTATGATAGTCACACAGAGAGAGAGAGAGAAGCAGGCTCCATGCACTGGGAGCCGGACGTGGGATTCGATCCCGGGCCTCCAGGATCGCACCCTGGGCCAAAGGCAGGCGCCAAACCGCTGCGCCACCCACGGATCCCCAAGAAAAAGATCTTTAAAGGCAGAGAGGGAGCTGGAAAAAATACATTGTTTCAGGCAAGGTAGCTTGCCTAAGGGGAACAGAAGCTGTTGATCAATGAATTTCCTAATCATGACCAATCAATACTATGTTGACTGATTAAACATTACATTCTTGGGTGGGCTGAAACTGCAGTTAGGCTAGGCATTAAGTCTCGAGTAGCTCATGTGAGACCTTAATGTAAGTGACTCCTTCTGGGGCCTCAGATTTTCATTTTCACATGGAAAAGGAGTATTGAGCTTTGTTAAATGATTTTTTTCTGCATCCCCTGAAAAAATTCACGTACTTTTCTCCTTTAATATTTTGAATTATGTTGAATGATTTTCAGATGTTAAACCAGTGGTGCACACTGAAGGTAAACTCCACTCTTCCATGACATATCATCCCTTTAATACTGAATTCAATTTGATAATGTTCTGTTAAGCGTTTTTGCATATGGGTTCATGAAAGTTATTGGTCTGTAGTTCTTCTGCCTTGTTATGTCTTTAGTTCTGGAATCAGGGTATTAGTGGCCTCATAAAATGAGTTCAAAGTGTCTTTACTTCTTTTCTGAATGATTTTATGTAGTATCGATTTTTTTTTTCTTTTTCCTTTACTTGTTAGTAGAATTAACCGATGAAGCCATATGAGCCTGGAGTTTCCTTTGTTGGGAAGTTTTTATTTTTATTTGCTAATACAATTTTTAAAATTTGTATAGAGTTGTTCAAGCTTTCTATTTCTTGTTGGGTCAGATATGGGATTTTGTGTCTTTTAAGGAATTTGCCCATCTCAGCTGGGTTGTCAAAAGTGTTGTTTGTAATAATCTCTGACTCTTTAATGTTCTGAAGGCATTGTAGTGATATCCCTTCTTTTATTCCTGATACTGGTATGTTTTCCTTTTTTTTTTTTTTCTACCTAGATGTTTATGATTTTTATTAATCTTTTTTTAAAAAGATTTTATTTGAAAGTGAGAGAGAGAGACAGAGCACAACAGGGGTGGGAGGGTAGGGGGAGAGGCAGATGGAGAGGGAGAAGATTCCCTGCTGAGCAGGGAGCCCAGAGGAGGTGCTGGATCCTAGGACCCAGAGACCATGACCTAACTGAAAGGCAGATGCTTAACTGACTGAGCCACCTAGGTACCCCTCCTTTTTTTTTTTTTTTTTTAAGATTTCATTTATTTGAGAGAGACAGAGTCTCATTAATCTTAAAAAAATCAGCTTCTGCTTTCTTTAGTTTTATCTTTTCTCTTTTTTATTTCATCCATCTCTGCTTTTATATTTTATTTCCACCTTTCTGCTTGCTTTGAATTTAATGTTCTCTTTTATATTAAGGTGAAAGGTGTCATTGATTTGAGATTTTTCTTTTCTATTTTAGGTGTCCTAAGGCTTTAAGTTTTCCTCTAAGTGTCCTGGGTTAGCTGCATCCCCATGAATTCTGATAGGTTGTATTTTCATTGTTATTCAATTAAAAATATTTTTCTTGTGACTTAATTCTTTTACCCACTGATGATTTAGATGTGTGTGGTTGAATTTTCATGTATTTGGGGTTTTCTTGTTATATATTAAAAATTACTAAAGTTTACTTGGTATGGTTTTCTTTCAACTTACATTAATTGGTTTATTATCTTTTAAACTAGTAATTTAGGCCATTTACTCTAAAGCACAGTTAAATTTTTTTGCTCTGAGTTACAGAGAAAAAAAAAGTTGCATTTAAAGTGTTAGAAGATTCATTTTTCTTTTCTAGAAATTTTCTTTTATTTTAAATTTATATGTTTATTCTTATTGTCAAATAAAAAAGTTTTGTTTAATTTAGGAAAGTTTATGATCTAATTCATTAGATATCTAATTTGGAGATAAGGAAAAGTAAATTAATTTGTTGAGAAAATATTTCATACTCAGAACATGGAAAAATTTTATCAAATTCTTGAGCTAGCTAAGGAATTCATTGGGAATTCATAACCAGATTTCTATTTCCTTATTTGCTCTTATTTTATCTCACATAGGGTGTTGAAGTTTCAACCATGTTGTTTCAAATGGCAAGATTTTCTTTTTCATGGCTGAATAACATTCCATTGTATATACAGTTGAACCTTGACCAACATAGGTTTGAAATGTGCAGGTCTGCTTATATGCAGATTTTTTGATAAAATACTGTACTGTAAATATATTTTCTCTTCCTTATGATTTACTTAATATTATTTCTCTATATTGTAAGAATACAGTACCTAATACATATAACATACAAAATAGGTGTTAATAGGACTGAAGGCAGTGTTAATAAACTTTATGTTATCAGTAAGGCTTCTTGTGAACAGTAGGCTTTAATAGTTAAGTTTTGAGGGGAATCAAAAGTTATACACAGAGGAGGCTTTCATGTTATCTATGTATAGTATCATGTCATTTGCAAATAGTCACAGTTTTACTTCTTCCTTGCCAATCTGTATGCTTTTTTCCCTTTTTATCTGATTGTTGTGCCTAGGATCTCCAGTACTATATTGAATAAAAGTGTCATGCTTATCTCTTTTGTGATCTTAGAAAAAAAGCTTTAAATTTCTCACCATCGAAAATAATGTTAGCTGTGGGTTTGTCATATGTGGCTTTTCTTATGTTGAGATATGTTCCCTCTAAGCCCACTTTGTTTTTTTTTAAGATTTTACTTATTTATTCATGAGAGACACAAGGAAGAGATAGGCAGAGACACAGGCAGAGGGAGAAGCAGGCTCCATGCAGGGAGCCCGACGTGGGACTCGATCCTGGGTCTCCAGGATCACGCCCTGGGCTGAAGGTGGCACTAAACCGCTGAGCCATCCAGGCTTCTCTAAACCCACTTTGTTGCGAGCTTTTATCATGAGTGAATGTTGAATTTCATCAAATGCTTTTTCTGAATTTATTGAGATGACCATGTGACTTTTTTTAATCCTTCATTTTATTAATGTAGTGTATCAGATTGATTTCTAGATATTGAACCATCCTTGCCTCCCCCAGAATAAATCCCACTTGATTGTGGTGAATGATTTTTTTTAAAAAAGATGACAGATAGATTGATTGATTTGAGACACACAGAGAGAGGCAGAGACATAAAGAGAGAAGCAGACTCCCTACAGTCAGCCCAATGTGGGACTCCATCCCAGGACACTGGGATCATGCCCTGAGCAGAAGGCAGATGCTCTACCACTGAGCCACCCAGGTGCCACATGAATGATCTTTTCAAGGTATTGTTGAATGCATTTTGCTGGTATTTTGTTGAGGATTCTTACATCTATGTTCATCAGGGGTTTTGGCCTATAGTTTTTGTGTATTTTGTTAGTGTCTTTGACTTTGGAAACAGGGTAACATTGGCCTCATAGACTGAATTTGGGAGTTTTCCTTCTATTTTTTAGGAGTAGTTTGAGAATAGGTATTAACTCTCCTTTAAATATTTGGTAGAATTCACCAATGAAGCTATCTGGTCCTGGACTTGTGTTTATGAGGAGGTGTTTTGTTTTTTTTTAAGATTTTATTTATTTATTCATGAGAGAGAGAGAGAGACAAGCAGAGGGAGAAGCAGGCTCCATGCAGGGAGCCTGATGTGGGACTCAATCCCAGGTCTCTAGGATCACACCCTGGGCTGAAAGTGGCGCTAAATTGCTGAGCCACCCAGGCTGCCCTATTGGAAGTTTTTTGATTACGGATTCAATTTCCTAGTAATCAGTCTGTTCAGCTTCAGGCTTATTCTTGATCCTTGGGTGACTGTCATCAAGACCTTCAGGCCTTCAAATCAAGGGGTTTACTTGGTTCTTCTTATTTGGCCAGCTCTGAATGCCTCATTTTTTTTTCTTTTAGCCCAGAGAATTTGCAAAAATTCTTTCCAGATTCTAAGGCTCCTAAATGATATTTTATATAGTTAGCCTTTCAGCCTCTCAGCACCTGATTTCATTTTTTTAAAAGATTTTATGTATTTATTCATGAAACACACACACAGAGAGAGAGAGAGAGGCAGAGACACAGGCAGAGGGAGAAGCAGGCTCCATGCAGGGAGGGAGCCTGATGTGGGACTCAATCCAGGGACTCCAGGGTCACACCCTGGGCCGAAGGCAGGCGCTAAACTGCTGAGCCACCCAGGGATCCCCTCAGCACCTGATTTCAAATCAGTAATCACCTCAATGGTAAAATCACACAAATATCAGGCTTCCCAATATGGATTTCCCAGCCCTCTGTCATTTTGTCCCCACGAATCTTCACAGCTTTCATTGCCTTCCCATGCTGACAAATATATATATGTACATTTGTGTGATAAGTCAGAAGGAGACACAGACATAGGTATAGATGTTATATTTGGAAAGTTCTGGTTATTTCAATGAAATGTTAACAGATGATAAGATTTCCTACTTGAAAATCTGAATTTTTAGTTAAAAATTACTAAATCTGTCAAAGAATTCAATCCTCAGTATACACAAAGGTTTGGTCAAATAGTCTTTTTATTACACTCATGATAGAAAAGTAAACTGATACATAACTTTTCTTCTGTTATGCTTCAGTATCTATAAAAAATAAACTTCACATATATGTGCAGCCACTTCATATCTATTCCTGAAGAATAATAAAAGATATATGCATATGGGACTTTTATATTAACAGAAGTTCAAAAATAATCTATTCTTGAATAAGGAGCCAATTTAAAAAATTATTATAGCCATTGCAACAGGGTATTATATTTATACCACTTGTAAAAATACCTATATGTTATTATATAAATTTCACCACCAAATCATAGGTATATGATATATAAATATATAGGTATATACACATACATAAAACACATATTTCTGTATATGTATATTCAAATATAATCATATATACATATAATCCTCCCCTCTTCTTTGCCTTACTATGTCTATGTATGTATGTGTCTCCAATTGTGTGTTTAACCAGTAGGGGGAAGCAGGAAGGGCATCCTTGGACAGAGCAACAAATTCATATTTTATCACACATTATTGCCCCTGCCTGGAATGACCTTCCCCTGTTTTCTCCCTGCATAGACATACTCATATATACATACCTATACAAATGTGTATCACAATTATTTTTTAATAACCACTGGGAAAAAACAAATTACACATGCTAAAACTATCAAGAGATAAGAGGAAGAAATGAGTGAATTTCATGCATTTAAAAAAAATTTGTTTTTAAAGATTTTATTTATTCATGAGAGACACACACAGAGAGAGAGGCAGAGATACAGGCAGAGGGAGAAGCAGGCTCCATGCAGGGAGCCCGATATGGGACTTAATTCCAGGACTCCAGGATCAGGCCCTGGGCCGAAGGCAGGCTCTAAACTGCTGGGCCACCCAGGCGTCCCAATTTTTAATTTTTAATGTTAGAAAATATGACATTAATAAAGTACCTTACATTGGTATACACTGCATATGAGATACAGCATGAAATCTTAGGACTGGATTACAAAAAAGAATTTTGTTTCATACAGGGAAATTTGAACTGAATCTTAAAGGATAAAGACAATGAAAAGAAAGGGTCAGGAATGTCCTTCCTGATGTGAAAGGAGAGGTGGATGGTGGCTGACACACAAGACAGAAAAGCATCTGGCTTGTTCAGGTGAGGTCAGTGTGGCTTTGCAATCTGGCGGCCTGGCCTTTCTTCAGACTGGAACAAAACAGAGCTTATAGAAAGGTGGTGTAGCACCCAACCCATTGGCAATTGGGGTGGTGTCAATGTCCTTTGGATCAACCAGAGGTTTCAAGGTGAAATGCTGTAAAATACTGGTCAGTAGCAAAAACAGCTCCATGCGGGCCAGGCCTTCTCCAATACAAACTCTCTTCCCTAAAAACAACATATAAATTCAATATTCATTTAATTCTGTTTCTGAATTAGCACACAGGGAAGCTTAAATAAATATGGACTGAGAAAATAAATATGTTAATAGACTAATTAATCCATGGCTTCTTTTATCTACACCGAAATTTGGCTTCCTTCACTTCCTCAGTACGTATTTTTGTGTGCACATGTAGGGGCAAGGGCAGCTTGCCCCTAGATGGGCCACTTTGGCATAAAGATTATTTTAAATGAAAAGCAATTAAAACCCAGCAAATTCGGGATCCCTGGGTGGTGCCTGCCTTTGGCCCAGGGTGCGATCCTGGAGACCCGGGATCGAATCCCACATCGGGCTCCTGGTGCATGGAGCCTGCTTCTCCTTCTGCCTGTGTCTCTGCCTCTCTTTCTCTCTCTCTGTGACTATCATAAATGAATAAAAAAATAAAAATTAAAAAAACCCAGCAAATTCAAAAAAGCTCCTTACCTCTCCTTCAACTGCCTGCCTGTACCAGGAAGAGAGCAATTAACAGATTATTCTTTATCTAAGAGACTTCTCTGTATAACAAGGCAACCTTTGTTTTTGAAACCTCTCCTCTCACCTTCATGCGAATGGCTTCCTCTCCTTTGCATCCTCAGACTCCTGCCGCTCTCCTTAGCTCAGAATGTCCCAGAGGCCTATATTGCTATCTTTGGAATTTCATGTCTTTACAGGTTCCCTATACCTGTGAAACTAAATTTGATTTTCTCCTCTTAATCTGGCTCATGTCAATTTGATTTTTAGTCCCAGTGGGAAGAATCTTGAAAGGCAGAGGAAAATTCCTCTTCCTAGAAAGCTGGCAGAATTGGTAGTATACTTTAACACACTGGACACTGCTTGCCACAGACACAGCTGCAGCCAGAAGATCCTTGGGACATCTGACATACAGCTGGCAGAAGGTAAGATTTCCTACCATGTCAGTCTTCTGGAATCTGAGGAGTCTGATGAGCAAGAATGGCGAGAGTCCTTTTTCTGTCTTTCTGAATTTAGATTACCAGGAGAAAATACTTGTGGAACTAGTTCCTTGTGTTTAGCAACTCTTGGTGAATTTGGTAGAGTCCTCTTTGGGGGAAACAGATTAACCAGAGATGATCTTCATTTTCCTTTGTGTCTTTTATGTCGTTTTTAATAAAAAGCAATTACCATAGTGCAGAAAGTAGGCATAGGCCCTATAAGCCTGCTGTTTGAGCCAGCCCCACAGGCTGGTGAGTTCATGGTTCTCATCAGACTGGCACCTGTTTAGATAAAGTTTGCTGTAGGTTAAGGATTGTTGCCAAGGGACATCTTGGAAACCAAAGCTCCACAATTGATAGGCATGAGTGGAACACATAAAAGCTATGATAGCACTCACCACCTCAAGATGGCTCCTGTAATAAGTTGGTCACAGAACAGGTTAGGTTGACACTTGATCACTTACCAACCCAAGAAAATGAGGTGTGCAGTGAGGCATATTGTAAAAACACACTGTAAATCGTTAACCCTGTGGCACATCCCTCTTGGTATTAGTGTGGATCCAAGAGACCCAAAGTTTAGCCAAAAGAAAAACTAGGTAAAGTTTTTCCTTTTGTCTTGTTCTATGTCCCAAGAGCTTGGCTTTGTGACCAGTGAGAATATTCTCTTTGGTCTCCACCATCCAGAGGATGCACTTGCAAGGGTGCACTTTGGTGGCCAGCCAAACAGAATGGGGATCTGAATCTCTCTCTCTCTCTCTCTCTGACCACGCCAGCTCTCAAGGGTATTTGTCATGAGAGGTCTCAGCCTATAGGAACCTTTATGTTCTCAATCTTTGTTAGTGCTGGAAAGTTCTATTACAGGAGCACATGCCCGGTGTCACAGATTTACTGAGTCTGTGACTAGAGGCATCTCATGATTTCACTGGAGACCAGTAATGAAGGCCTCTGCTTTCTTAGACAAATTATGAGAAAAATCTTTTGGATCATGAGGATTCCGTCATCTATGCCCTCTCACTGGATGCCTCTTGTGTCTTTGGTTAAAGCATTAAAAGGTTTATTAGTTTGAGTTGCTCATAACAGATCCCACTCATGGATTCTTTAAATTGGCTGTTTGAAAAAAGAAAAACTTTCTCTCCCTCTCTCTCTCTCTTTTTTTTTTAAAGATTTTATTTATTTATTCATGAGAGACACACACACAGAGAGAGAGAGAGAGAGAGAGAGAGAGAGAGAGAGAGGCAGAGACATAGGCAGAGGGAGAAGCAGGCTCCATGCGGGGAACCTGACGTGGGACTTGATCCCGGAATTCCAGGATCATGTCCCAGGCTGAAGGCAGGCGCTAAATCACTGAGCCCACCGGGCTGCCCAAGAAAAACTTTCTTAATAGAGACCTCTCAATTGTCCTACTTTCGTTTGTTGTTGTTTTTTTAATTGTCCTAGTTTAATGGCTAGCCTCAGGGACTCCATTGACAAGATGAAAGAACAGAAATTAGAAATAAGAAAAAGAGGGAGGTATTTGAAAATTGGGCCTATGATGTCCTCCCCACAAATATTAGTAAAAACCTAATCTATAAAAATATTTTTAGGGCAGCCCGGGTGGCTCAGCGGTTTAGCGCCGCCTCTAGCCCAGGGCGTGATCCTGGGGACCTGGGATATATATATAATCTTATTTGTGTGTATGTGTCCCATGTTGCAAATGTGAGATATTTTCTCTCATTTCAATTTGCTAAATTGAATTTGTAAAAGAGTTCCATTTAGTTGAAGGCAGCCCTTATAAGGATTGGGCATTCTAAGAACTCAGAAAGATAGAAACTAAGATAAATGTTTTTCAAGTTTATGTGATCAGGGAAAATACTCAGTATTAAAACTAACTTAAGGGATGCCTGGGTGGCTCAGCGGTTGAGCCTTTGGCTGCCTTTGGCTCCGGGCGTGATCCTGGAGACCTGGGATCGAGTCCCACGGGCTCCCTGCACGGGGCCTGCTTCTCCCTCTGCCTGTGTCTCTGCCTCCCTCTCTCTGTGTCTCTCATGAATAAATAAATAAAATCTTAAAAAATAAAAATAAAACTAACTTAAAGTTGTTGGTTTAATTAAAATAGCTGTGTCTTTAGAGTTATCAGGATTAAATATAAAACTTGTAGCCTGCCCGTGTTTACTGAAAGTCAAATAAGTTCATATTATCTCTCACAAACTTTATGAGAAAAAAATGATGGTTGACTTTGATGCCTCAAAATATTTTATACGTAGTCTAAACTGTTCAGAACAAGTCAATTAGATGTAGATAAGATAAAAAGGTTTGTAGGCAAACTTTTATTATTATTATTATTATAAGATTATTAATAAGATTATTATAAGATTATTATAATAAGATTTTATTTATTCATTTGAGAGAGAGCGATCATGAGCAGGGGGCTAAGCAGGGAGCCCAACACAGGGCTCGATCCCAGGACCCTGAGATTATGACCTGAGCCCAAGGCAGATAGATGCTTAACCAACTGAGCCACCCAGGTATCCCCTAAAGATTTTATTTACTTTTTAGAGAGCAAGAGAGCAGGGGAAGGAGGGTGATAAAGAATCTGAAGCAGACTCCACACTGAGCATGGAGCCCAACAAGGAGCCTGATCCTGCAACTTTGAGATCATGTGTAGGTAAAAATTCAGGTTACCAAAGATTTTGGTAGTTCTGTAAAAGTTTAAAGTTTTGCTAAATGTTAAGCTAAATTAATTGAATATCTAGATCATTTCCAAGTAAGATAAAATAATGAGACATTAAGTACTGAACATAAGTTTATCTCTGTTGGGCCGGCGGGATCAAGGGGGTCGCGGGATGGGGGGGACCAACAAGACGGCGGCGGACCCCCCCCCCTTGTGGCCCCCACCTCAGAACCTTCCGGGCAGCAGCGGACCGCCCGGAGGACACCGGACACGTCATCGGGGGAGCCTGGACCTATGCAGGAAGCCTGAACCGTACTTTACCCAGACCCCATATAAGGGCACGGGCAGTCATCGCCCCAGGCCGATCTCACCAGTAATAAGCCTAATACCTGTCACCCCAGCAGACACCAACCCCTTAAAAAGCCCACTTGCCCTCCTGGCCGCCACTTGCCCGCTCTCTCCCCCTCCACTGCGGCTGTGGGGATTATGTGTTGTTTTACAATATATCTTACTGCCCAGAAGTTTTCCTGAGGCTGGCAGGTGACCTCCTGTCAATCCTAGGCAAGCGCTCATAAAGATTGGGCACTCTAAAAACTCAGAAAGATAGAAACTAAGATAAATGTTTTTCAAGTTTATGTTCTCTGACCAACTTATCCTATCACTGGAGCCTTCTTGAGGTGGTGAGTGCTCTAACAGCTTTTTTTTTTTTTTAAGATTTTATTTTTTAAGCAATCTCCACACCTAAAATGGGGCTCGAACCCACAACTCCAAGATTAAGAGTCACACGCTCCACCAACCAAGCCAGCCAGGTGTCCTAGTTATAGCAGCTTTTAAGTGTTCAATCTGTGTCTGCCAGTTCTGCAGCTTTGGCTTCCAAGATGTCCTTAAGCAACAGGCTTTACCTCATGGGCCCATTAACCTATATTAAAGTTTGTACGACAAACAACATAAAAGACACAAAGGAAAACAAAGAGCATCTCTGGGAGGAAAAGAGATCAGTTACCAAAGAGGACTCTACCAAATTTACCAAGAGTCACTAAGCCCAAGGAACTAGTTCCACAAAAATTTTCTCCTGCTAATCTATATTTAGAAAGAGAGAAATAGGACTCTTAGCATTCTCGCTCCATCAGATTCTAGATATTCTGAGAGACTGACATGGTAGGAAATCTTACATTCTGTCAGCAGAAGGTGTATGGGGCGAGCAGTGTCCAGAGAGTTAAGGTATCCAGCTGACATAGCAATTGTTGTGAGCAACAATCCCCTGTCCCTTTCAAGGTCCTTTTAGCTGGACTGAGAATCAAATTGACATGAGACAAATTAACAGAAGGAAATCAAATTTAATTTCATATGTAGAGAGAATATACACAGACCTAGAAATTCCAAAGACAGGCAAAATGATACATCATCCTAACTAAGGAGGTAGGAAAAAAAGAAATATTACAAATTAGCCACAAGCATATTAACTAATCACTTATCTCCAAACAGACAGTTTCTAATGTTATCTGGATTCCAGTCAGTCCTCCAGCCTTCCTCTCCTCTGCCTGTTGATATTTTCCATATCCTTCTAGATCTAGCTCAAATGTCATTTCGTCTACCCAAACTTATTTGATGTGCTCAAGTATATAACTCCCTTTTCTGTTTTCCACAACACTTGTTAATGCTTCTAAAATAGCATATTTCGGGGGATCCCTGGGTGGCGCAGCGGTTTGGCGCCTGCCTTTGGCCCAGGGCGCGATCCTGGAGACCCGGGATCGAGTCCCACATCGGGCTTCCGGTGCATGGAGCCTGCTTCTCCCTCTGCCTGTGTCTCTGCCTCTCTCTCTCTCTGTGACTATCATAAATAAATAATAATAAAAAAATTAAAAATTTAAAAAAAAAAAATAAAATAAAATAGCATATTTCAGATGAAATTATAATTATTCATCTGTCTCACATCCTGGAGCCTAAACTCTTAAGGTAAGGCCTTAGATCTTGTAATAATACCCACAGTGTCAGGGCAAACGCAGGTCTACAAGCCCCGTGACTTGAGACTCCTTGGGGTTTCTCTTCATTATACAGTAATGGGCCCAAAATATAGGAAGAAAGATAAGGAGTAGTATAATAGTACCTTGCTTTGTGATCATCTCTGGGCATTGCTCATAATCTTGTGCAAGGGTTGCTTGATACTTATTTTTCTTATATATTCAATCAAAAGGAAATCTGTTTTTGTCTCGCTTTCAATTACTTCTACAGGAAAGGCCCTTTATCCTCCTCCCTCCCCCTTTTATTCTCCTTTGGAATGTGCTGAATATTCTCCTTTCTCCCACTTTCCAGCTCCATTTTGTGTTTAACTTTTGTGTCTACTCTGTTCAGGAAGCTGATTTCTATGGACTGCATAAACCGAAAAGTTAGTTCCCTTCTGGATTCTGAATAAATTCAGAGCATTAGATATTAACAAGGTCAGAGTATTTATTCCCTTATCCCACCCTGCCAGGCTACAATTTAGGCAGTGGCTATATTGCTCTGCTATAGATACATTTCCTGTTGAGGCATCCACTCCTTCTTTCCTAAAGTTCTATTTAGGTTCCAGTAATGCCCTCCTCTCATCCTTTCTGACCTAGGATGGTAACATCTTCCTGCTGATGCTGGATCACACCTTGTCACCTACCTTAATCCTGCCCATACCTCTGAAAATAGTCTCATGATTAAATTCTCTTTAATTAACTTTTGAATATGCCACCTGTTTCTTCCCAGGACTCTGACAAATTAAAGGGAGATACTCAAATTTCCCTTACCTTCTATCTACTCTACCCACTGCCCCTTCTTAGGAACCTCAGTGGTGGGTTCTGGAGCCAAACTTGGCAAGCGCAGCCTCCAATCAAACAAGAAATAACCTGGGCATTGGGAGTGATGCCTCTAGCCTCATGCAAATGACAATTTCTCTAGCCCAGAGTAGCCGCCCCGAAAAGCCCTTCCTCATCTCACTACCCCGATATATAGATAAAAATGAAACTTGCTTGCCTGCTGAGAAGGCCATGAAGTAGTCACTCTTCTTAAAGCTGCCATTTTCATCCAGGAAGTGGCCAGGATCAAACTGATCTGGGTTGGGAAATTCTTTCTCATCATGCAGGACAGAAGTCAGAGATGTTAATATGGTTGTGCCCTGATATGAAAAACAAAAACAAACAGATAAACTGAATTATAATGAAGGTCATGGAGCTTGAAATCCTTTTGTTTTATAGATAAGGAGAGAGGTACAAAAAGGACTTATTTACTCCATGTCACAGAACAAACTAATGACCAACTCTAACAGGTTTTAAATCCTGTAATGCCAATCCAAGGCACTATTAATTGATTCCAAAGTCATTCTATTCAGTTTGTGGCCTGACTCTAGCATGCTCTTATAAGAAAATTAAGGGAGCTCCCTAGAATGCATTGTTCCTGACAAATAAATTGCAGTATTATCTAAAAGTGCTAATGCCACTGAAAATCAGCTCTTTCTCTTTGGAACCAAGTATGAGGTCTTCAAAATCATACTTGAGTGGTCATTCCTGAAAACCCTTCTCTTTCAAGGATAACAAACTGAGGGTGTCTGGCTGGCTCAGTCAATAGAGCATGCAATTCCTGTTCTTGGGGTCGTGGCTTCAAGCCCCACCATGGGTACATAGCTTACTTAAAAATAATTTTTTTAAAAAAAGATGACAAATGGTTAAGTATCCCCTCCTCCCATTGTGCTCTTTCAGTTGAATTACTGCATATCTTTATTGAAATGAGAGCATTTCTGGTTTCTAGTAGGGTTTCTTAAGCTCACAGATACAGTGTAACATAACGATTTGGAGTTTAGTTTTCAAAATCAATCAAATCTTTCTATTAAATTAAGCTCTGTGATTATAGGTTACTTGTTTAACATTTCCATGCCACATTTTCATAACTAGTAAAATGTAAACAATAAATCTGCACTAGTAAACAACACATTGCACACATAAAATGAGATAATACAAGAAATACTTTTGCACAAGGATTATTTTACCACATGCTATGGGTGCCTGGATAGCTCAGTCAGTTGGGCATCCTACTCTTGATTTTGGCTTAGGTCATGATCTCAGGGTCATGAGATCGAGCTCTGAATCTGGCTCTGGGCTTACATGGAGTCTGCTTGAGATTCTCTCTCCCTCTGTCCCTCCCCCTGCTTATGCCATCTATAAATTAATTAATTAATTAATTAATTTTTAAAAATCCTTAAAAAGAAAAAAAGATTCTCTCTCTCTCTCTGCCCCTCCCCATTGCTCACATGCTTTCACTCAAAAAAGATTACCACTATTCTCTATAAGTCCATGGTTATGGGTTGGGTGACACATACACAGGAGGGAACTCCATGAAACCTGTCCCTGTATGATTGCTTGAGAACTGAAGCTGGATATCAGATGTTATGCAGAGATGGGGGAGTTGAGATTCCAACCCAGCTAGGGTGAAGAGAACTTTCTTGGCACCTCAGATTTTTTGTGGTAGCCCCCAAACTTGTAAATTGTTAGGTTAAAGAACCCACACTGGACTAAGGGTCATGCATAAAAACTAAATTCAAAAGTGAAACTAACCCACAATGAAAGAATTATAGTAAGCCTAACAGACTGAAAAACTTTTGTCAGTAATTTAGCTGCCTGCCAAAATAAGTCAATGTCCTTTAAAGGAAGATAGTATAATCAGATTCTCCACAAGGCATCATTTAAAATGTTCAGCATATAATAATTTTTTTAAGTAGGCTCCAAACCTAATGTGGGGCTTGAACTCACAACCTTAAAATCAGAGTTGCACACTCCTCTGACTGAGCCAGCTAGGTACCACAAGCATGCGAAAAATTATTAAACATGTGAAAAAGAAGGAAATGTGACCCAAAATTAAAGAGCAAAAAACAAAAACAGAACAATAACTAAGACTGAATAAACAAAACTCTCTCAACAGACACCATTCCCAGACCAGATGGCTTCACTGGTGAATTCTACCAAACATTTAAAGAATTCTCAACAAAATCTTAGCAAACTAAATTGAACGGTACAATAAAAGGGTCATATACTGTAATCAAGTGGGATTGATTCCAGGGATGCAAGGATGGTTCAACATCCACAAATCATTGTGATATGAAGGCTAAAAATCATATGATCTCAGTAGATGCAGAAAAAAAGCATTAAAGAAATGCTCAACAAAGTAGATATAGAGGGAATGTACCTCAACATAATAAAGGCCATATATGATAAGACCACAGCTAACATTATCCTCAGTAGGGAAAGCTTTAGCTTCTCCTCTAGGATCAGGAACAAAAGAAGGATGCCTACTCTCACCACTTTTATTCAACATAGTATTAAAAGTCCTAGTCTGAGAATTTGTTAGGAAAAAGAAAGAAAAGGCATCCAAATAGGAAAGGAAGTAGAACTGCCACTGTATGAAGATGACATGATACTGTAGATTTGAAAAAACCCTGGGCACTTGGGTGGTTCAGTGGTTGAACGTCTGCTTTTGATTCAGGTTGTGATCCCGGGATCCTGGGATCGAGTCCTGCCTTAGGCTCCCCACAGGGAGCCTGCCTCTACCTCTGCTTATGTTTCTGCCTCTCTTTGTGTTTCTCATGAATAAATAAATAAAATCTTCTTTAAAAAGTAAAAATAAAAAAACCTTAAAGACTGCACCCAAACTGTTAGAATAAATGAATTCAGGATAAAAATCAATATACAAAAATCTGTTGCATTTCTATACATTAATAATAAACCATAAGAGAAATTAAGAAAATAATCCCATTCACAACGGCATAAAAAAATCTAGTGATAAATTTAACTAAGGTGAAAGATCTGTACACTGAAAACTATAAGACACTGATGAAAGAAATGGAAGACAACACATAATAAGTGGAAAGATATTCTATGTGCATGGTTTGGGAAAATTAATACTGTTAAAATATCTATACCACCCAAAGCCATCTATAGATTCAATGCAATCCCTATGAAGATTCCTATGGCATTTTCACAGAAATGGAACAAACAATTCTAAAATTTTATGGAACCACAAAAGATCCTAAATAGCTAAAGCAATCATAAGAAAGAAGTACAAAGCTGGAGGAATCACACTTCCTGATTTCCAATTGTATTATAGAGTTATAGTCATTAAAACAGCATGATATTGGTATAAAAATAGACACATTAGATAAATGAAAAGGAATAGAGAACCCAGGAATAAACCCATGCATAGATGGTCAGTTAATTACTAACAAAAGAGCCAAGATATACAATCAAGAAAAGACAATCTCTTCAATAAATGGTGTTGGGAAAACTGGACCATATCTTACACTCAAAACTTAACTCAGAATGAATTAAATAATTGAACACAAGACCTAAAACCACAAAACTTTCAGAAGAAAACAGGTAGTAAGCAGTCTTGCTAATGAATATTATGAAGAAAATCCTGTGGGAGTCTAAGCACTATTATTTATAAAATTTTATCAAGAAAGTAAAAGGAAAGGAGCATGTGGCCAGAGAGTAAAATGCCTGGGTTATGACTATGTCATGCCTGTACACATGGTTAGGTAATCTATAATCCTACTGTTGTGACACTTGATAACCTAACATTCTTAAGGAGGGGGCCCTGGAGGGACTCAGTGGCTTAAGCCTCCAACTCTTGATTTGGCTTAGGTCATGATCTCATGGTCGTGAGACTGAGCCCCTGGACAGGCTCCAGGCTGGGTGTAGAGCCTGGAGATTCTCCCTCTTCCCCTGTCTGCATTCTCAACTATATATATATATATATATATATATATATATATATATATATATATACAGACATACATACAGACATACATATTTTTAATTTTTTTTTAAATTCCTTAAGTAGTAGCAATGAAATATCTCTCACCTTGGGAATAAGGTATTCTCTAAACTTGATGTCCTGAGTCACTGAATGGGGCAGATTGTTGGGGACAAGATCAATGTATCTCTGGATCTCATGTATCACAGCATCTGTGTAGGGCATGCAGCTCCTATCCTGCATGCAGGGGCTCCGATGTCTGCCAACTACACGATGAATCTCTTCCTGGACTTTAGCTGGCAAGACAGGAATCAGAATTTATGTGAAATGCAAATGTCTTTTGATTTGGTCTTCCTTTGTTTTTGGTTTTTTTTTTTTTAAAGATTTTATTTATTTGAGAGAGAGAGAGCTCATGTGCACTTGAGGGGAGGGGCAGAGGGAGGAGAGAACCCCAAGCAGACTCTGCACTCAGTTCAGAGCCTGACAGAAAACCAAATCTCATGACCCTGAAATCATGAGCTGAGCAGAAACCAAGAGTCAGACACTGAACTGACTGAGCCACCCAGGCACCCCTTGATTTGATCTTAATCATGGTTACATTGTGGGAGGATATTGGGAAAGGGGAAAATCACATATGGCTACTTCCACAGGGGAGAGAAAAAGAAATCTGTTTCCTGGGCAAATTGGAGTCTCATTAGAGAATTAAATAAATGTACATATAAAACAAACGATACCATGAGATCCAACTCTGATTTCTCTATTTTGTGTACTTTTTTTTGTTTGATAAACTCATGGATATGAGGTCTTAAAAGTGCACTACAAACCATACTGTTTAACCACTTTGTATATGCCAGTTTTTGTTTTAAATAGGTAAGTTCCATGAGAGTAAGAACTACCCAGTGCAATAAATGTTTAATAAATAGAACAACTAAGATGTTTGACTCAGCACATAGGAAGTTAACATTTATTTAGAATGCAAAATATGACAGGCATGCTGTACAATGTATTACATTACTTTATAATTCCTCAAAACAGCCCTGTGTGTTGGGTATTATGTGTCTCAAAAATAAGGGAACAGACTCATACAAGTAAATATATTCCTTAAGGCCACCCAGGTGTTATGTGTTCTTTCTCATTCCCAAACCCACAATGTTAGCAATTGAGTAAGATTACTGAAAGTAATTTTGTTAGCAAATTACAATTTTTCCTTTATTTGCAAAATATTGCGAAATATGCTCTTTTACTAGGACTGTTCAGTAGTTAAACATTTATTAGCTTTCTCCTATGAGGGAAAGATTCTGTGAATGTATCATCTCCCCTAAACAGATGAGAGACCAAGATATGCAGAGTAGTCATGAGTCAGAGATCACATAGCTACTTACTAATAAAGTCAGAATCTGAAGTCACTGTAGTTAGTCTAGAACCCATTTTCTCCAGTATCATGTTGCAATTTGGTCAAATGGTATTTATCTACTACCTGAAGAGATGTCTTTATTAATGGAGCATGTGACAATTCTGTGGTTTGACAGCTATAAGGAAGACAGGAATTCTAGAGAAGTGTTAAACTTCTCGGATTGAGAAGCTGGAGTTTCATCTAGAAGAGAGTGACTATGTAAAGAGGTTTGGAACCTACTTATAAAATCAGAATGCTTAGAGAATGGCGAAGGGAGGGATGAAAATGGGAAGAAAGAAAAAATATAAATGGATATGATGCAAGAAGAATGAACATGGAAGCAATAGGGAGCTAGGACACAAAACGGGCTTTTGCAATGTACACAAGATGTAAAGGTCTAGAGACAACTGTCATACGGTATTTGTAGTCATAATCAACATGGGCCTAATAAGAGGGAAGTTACTTGACTTGAAAGAGTCTGTGTCACCTAAGGGAAACACAGTATTATATCCCATGAGTGAGAGTAAAGGAATTTCAAAGCTATGCTTCCAAATCGCACCATTTGGAGAACACTTCTTACTTACCTTGGGAGGACAGGAGGACCTTACACGAAGGAGAGTAATGTGGTGCCGATGTCACAGGGATAAGCCTCCTGAGATGTAACTGTGTTAAAGTGTCTCCGGGGCAGCCTGGGTGGCTCAGCAGTTTAGCGCCACCTTCAGCCCAGGGTGTGATCCTGGAGCCACCGGGATCGAGTCCCACGTCGGGCTCCCTGCTGGAGCCTGCTTCTCCCTCTGCCTGTGTCTCTGCCTCTCTCTCTCTCTCTGTGTCTCTCATGAATAAATACATACATTTTTTTTAAAGTGTCTCAGTGTGCCAAAGCACAGAACATGATGTAGTAGGGAAGGAAATATCCCCTTAGATGAGTACTCAATTAAAAAAAAAAAAAGATGAGTACTCAATAAAAAAAAGAAGCAAAAGGGGAAAGGTTGCATTTGCAAGAGAAGTTATGTTTGTGAGGAAGAATTTATCTGCCCAAAAGGATATATTTGAAAATAATTTATTTGTATGTAACTTTTTTTAGAGAGTGAGTCTCTTTGATAAAGACACTGTAATTTTTGTTGAGTCAATCCTTACATTGCAAGTGAATTTGAGTAGAAATATCTTCTGACAAAAATATACTTATCTGGACATGGAAAGTGTATCAAGTGGTATCTTCTTAGAGAAAGTGGAAGACTGATTCTTCCAGGTCCTAAGACAACTCGCTATTTGCATCTGTTAGGAAGCAAATCAGGGACATTCCACCACAGCAGGGAAAACCGTGAGCTCTGCCCTTCAAATCTCTGCTGCTGCTTGAATATTTCATCTCCTTTTATGTACTATAAACGAATTTGAATTGATTTATCCATTGATGGGAAGATGTACCAAAGATAGAAAGTTTTTTGTGTATATTGTCAGGGCAGGTGAAGAGTGGGAAAATTGTCAGTGTCACCTGTCACTTTCTTCGTGGAATTGCACCCTGCCCAACACTTGTGACCATACCTGTGACCTCTGGGTGCTTTAACAGCACCAAGAGTCCGTATCTCAGGGTGGTGCTCGTTGTCTCTGTTCCCGCACTAAACACATCCCATATGGTAATGATCAAGTTGTCCATGGTAAATTCAGACTGTTTGTTGTGTTTTTCCTACAAACAATGTGTTACAATTACTTGGTAAATAAAAGAGTCTCAGAGGTGACTTAACTCAATATGACATAGTTATTTGGTGTGAGTGCTACAGCTGCAGGTCAATTAGAAAGTTGTTAGTGTTCCTTCCAGTTAAAATATAATCAGTTATAAACTTTCAACAAGTCCTTTCCGATTCTTCACTTTCTCATCCCCTAGAATTGATCAGTTGCTCTACAATTTCTTTGAAACACAATTTTTATCAACTCCTCACTGCTACTCGTTGTCACTTGTAAATAAGCATCTATTGCTTATTTAATAATGTCTAATTTTCCCATTCAAGCCATCTGAACCACTCACCCCGCCAGTGCATCGTTATTCCCAACTCATCAATCATTACACCCATGACAATTCGTCAGTTACAATTAAGATCACCTCTCTGAAAATTCCACACACTTGATCACTGCGCTTATTGTTCCCTGGACCTACTATGTTGTCTCTGTTCATCTAAGCTAAAGTTTCTTCAAAACCTACCTCATCTGTGAAGATTTCCTACTGCCTTTCCAAAGTAAGCCTTTGTAGATCCCTATCCATTCCTGTGTTCCCTCTCTGGTTACATCTTCCAGTTGCTGAGCTTATTCAGTGAAGGATGATGTGTTGTGTATCATTAATCTTGAAGTGTGTGAGTGTATATTTCAATCTGCCCTCAAATAAAGAACCAGCTTTAACATGATAAATATAAAACCTGCAAAGTCATTTTCAGTGAGAATTTAGTTATATCTCAAGACACCCAATATCGTTTGCACAAGCAAGAGGTCAGACAAGCAATTAATATATCTTTCGGAAGGACCATTTGTTTTAATATCGCAGTTTCACTGAGAAGAACAAATCTAATCCATGAATCACACACACCACCCACAAAGATAAAGGGTCACGTTTTACCTTTTCTATTTTGATCAGGAAGTAGTCAATAAAGTCCCGAGGGTTACTAAAGTTTAGAGATTCTTCGTGTTCTTTTATTTTTTCCAAAATAAACTTAAATTGGTTAGCAATGTTTTTAAATAACACATGATGACTTCCTGGAAGGTAATGTATTAAAAGAGGGAAAGCATTGTAGAGCTGAAAGAGGAAAGAATCATTCATTAATTCACTCGGCAAAGTTTTACAGGCCTATGTTATGAATCAGACACTTGTTTATGCTGAGGATATAAAGAGGAGTAAGATATGCTTCCTGTACTATGACGTACTTGGAGTTTGAAGGACAGGGAACTGACACCATGTCTGGACTTACAGGATGCACGAGTCACAAAGTGATTTCAAAACCATTTAAATTTCTTTCCTAACCATAACTCTGTGAAGGAATCCAGGAGCATACCATCTTTTCCCAAAGGTGAATATTGAGGTTCAGAAAGGTCAGTCAACCTTCTGAGACATCAGTCTCGTAATAGAGCTAGAACCTAGTGTTCATCCCAGTTTACCTACATGTATTTCTACAGAGTCACCTAAAAAAGTTTACAAGGCTTACAACCTTTTTTTTTTTTTGTAATGAAGAAACTGCACCAGAGAGATTAAAGAAATGCCCAAATTACTTAGTTATTTAGGGATTTTATACTCTCAGGAATATGCACACTGCCCTTATTCATCAGCCCATGGCCAGTCCTAGAATTTACAGATTCTACTTTAGACAGTACCTCATGAATTAATGCTCTTGGTGGCAGTGAAGCAATTTATTCATTCCAGTAGCTTGTACCAAACTACGTAGAGAACTGAGAACTCTAGATTCCAGGTCTAGCTCATTGCTTGTCTTGGCTAGGCTATTTTAGTGATAGTTTCTTGTTCCAAAAAATGAGTAGACTCTTTGTTCTCTAGAGTCCTTTCCAGGGGGACCACATCATGACCTTATGGTTCACACATGATTTTAGTTCTTAGTAACATAAGTTACTAACATTTTCTGAGACTGTACTGTAGTAAGAAACACATTTCATATCATCACCCTCTTCATCTATTGGATATAGAAAAGGTTTCTCAAAAAAAAAACACTTTGCTATAATTGATGTACTATACTACATTTCTCTATCACTATATTTCATGGGTTTTAAAATAATTTTTTAAAGATTTGTTTTAGAGAGTGAGAGAGCAAGTGAGCATCAGGTGGGAGGGGTAGAGGGGGAGGGAGAATCTCAAGCAGACTCCCTGCTAAGCATGGACCCTGATGCCAGGGCTCAATCCCATGACCCTTGAGATTATGACCTGAGCCAGTATCACCAGTCAGATGCTTAACTTGAGCCACCCAGGTGCCCCACTATATTTCATGTTTTAAATTTCATTTCAATACATTAAACTGATTTGATAACTCACTCACTAATTGGTTGCAAATGATAGTCTGGTAAACATTACTTTAGCCATTTGGAAACAGGACAAAGGGATGAGGTAAGCATGAGCAACAGATTAGCTAGAAAATTATTTTCCATTTATTTATTTATTTTAAAAGATTTTATTTATTTATTCATGATAGACACAGAGAGAGAGAGACACAGAGGGGCAGAGACACAGGCAGAGACACAGGCAGAGGGAGAAGCAGGCTTCATGCAGGGAGCCTGATGCAGGACTTGAGCCTGATGCAGGACTTGATCCCGGGACTCCAGGATCATGCCCTGGGCCAAAGGCAGGCGCTAAACCACTGAGCCACCCAGGGATCCCCTTATTTCCCATTTAAAGAGAATCTTGACCTTACCTGTATCCAGGAGGTGCTTGAAATTAGAAGGTTTTCATGAAAATACTCTAACAAGGTTAAAAAATCTTTATCATCATACTCAAAACGATTCTGGAAAATAATGGAGCAAATCACATTGCAGGGAGCACAGCCCAGAAGGAAAGTAGGATCACAGGGAGATGCTAAAACAATATAATTTAAAAGAGCACAATTTTAATATAAATCTCAAGTTGACTGTTTAAAATGATTGAGAGGGTTGACTTTGGAGATTCATTTAAATATCGGAATTACCTGGATGTGTCATCATTGCCATAAACTCAACATGCCTAAAATAGATGGTTTGCCCAAACAAAGCTATCTAATCCAGCCAGCCCATTTATTAATTTTCTCCAAGTGTTCTATTTATGTTATTCTCCAAATAAGAGCCACTGGATAATTCAAAGGAAGGAAGTCACTTTAAAGTATCTTGAAAGCTGGAAAGTTTAGCTTTTGGTGTGGATATTTCTTCATGATACCTGGAGGAAGCTGAGCAACCAAATAAGAAAATCAGGAGCCTGGAGATACTTGAAACCATATTTTATAAAACATAGTTGAAAAAAGTTGGGTGTGCATTTCTTGTAGAAGAGAAAAATAATTAGAGAAATTGGAGTTCCGTTTGGATATTTGAAGAAATACGTTATATAGTATTGGAACCAGGCTTCCTATATACAAAACATGACTCCATTTTTTTTTTAAGATTTCATTTATTTACTCATGAGGGACAGAGAGAGAGAGAGGCAGAGACACAGGCAGAGGGAGAAGCAGGCTCCCTGCAGGGAGCCCGACATGGGACTCCATCCCTGGTCTCCAGGATCACGCCCTGGGCTGAAAGCTGTGCTAAACCGCTGAGCCACCTGGGCTGCCCAACACGACTCCATTTTTTGATGTTTGGCTGCCAATAACTTTTGAACCTCACCTTTTCTTCTTCTACTCACATCTGGACAATCTGATAAAAAAGCTCGTGTTCCTTCCTTTGGAAATAAGACATTTAAACTATACAACCACTGACTTGCACACAGAAACTCTCATTCCCTACCCCATCCCTTAACCACCATAAAAACATCAAGCCAGGGCAGCCCGGGTGGCTCAGCGGTTTAGCGCCACCTTCAGCCCAGGGGGTGATCCTGGAGACCCGGGATCGAGTCCCACCTCAGGCTCCCTGCATGGAGCCTCCTTCTCCCTCTGCCTGTGTCTCTGCCTCTCTCTCTATGTCTCTCATGAATAAATAAATAAAATCTTAAGAAGAAAACACACACACATCAAGCCAGTACCCTTTCCCTGTTCTCTCAAGCTGTGGGTTTTTAAAAAAATATTTTATTATTTATTTGAGAGAGAAAGAGAGAGCACAAGCAGGGGAGAGGGGCAGAGAGGGAGAAGCAGATTCCTTGCTGAGCAGGGAGCTCACCGTGGGGCCAAGGTTCCAGGGCCCTGGATCATGACTGACTGAACCACCCAGCACCGCTTGCAGGTTGTTTCTTAACCTGCTTAAGAGCCGCCCCGCTCTCCACAGAAAGCCTCACTTTGTGAGTCATCAACTTTTAACATCTAAACGGGGTATGTGTGGTACCATTAGTCTCAGCATCTAAACCAAATTCTGGATGGGAGGTACATCTTATCTGTTACAACACTGTAACTCCAAAAGGAAAAAAAGACTTAGCAGGTATCAAAAAGTCTAGGTTATAAGGAAAAATGTTCTGTCCAACATATAAAGGAAACTTTCGATAGTTAGGAGTTCCGCAGTGGTGAAATGGGTTACCCAAGAGTGTGAGGGCCCCCAGCTCAGTGGGGTCGGCCAGAAGCTGGGTAAGCATAGATGGGGAGCATCCAAAATAGTGGAATATTGCACTGGTCTGTTGATCATGCTCTTGACAAACATAAATTAATCACGTGAAAATAATATATTACATTGAAAGTGTAAAAAACAACATATGCTCCTATCCCTTCCTCTGCCAGGTCTCCCACCTATTCCTCAGTAACACACATCAAAAGTCCAAATGAGGAATCCCTGGGTGGCTCAACTGTTGAGCACCTGCCTTTGGCCCAGGGAGTGATCCTGGAGTCCCGGATCGAGTCCTACATCGGGCTTCCCGCGGGGAGCCTGCTTCTCCCTCTGCCCGTGTCTCTGCCTCTCTCTGTGTGTCTCTCATGAATGAATAAATAAAATTTTAAACAAAACAAAAAAAAAGTCCAAATGATAGTCACTGACACTCTACTGCCACTTCCAGAAATTTATTCCAAGGAAGAAACAAGAATCATGCAAATATTTGTAATAATTGCATTTTTTATATTAATAGCAGCAAAAAGAGGAGGGGGGACAACCTGTCGGGACAATACGTAATATTAGCTAAAAAACACAATGGCAGGGGCGTTTGGGTAGCTCAGTTGGTAGAGCGTCTGACTCTTGCTTTCAGCTCAGGTCATGATCTCAGGATCCTGAGATCAAGATCTGTGTCAAGATCCATACCGAGTGTTGAGCCTGGTTAAGATTCTCTCTTTCTTTCTAAAAAAATACATATGTGTATATATATTTGAAACAATGGCAATTCACCATATCAAAAATAGGATTATTTAGTTGGAAAATATTTAAATATTGAGGTTAAGAAACCACATATATCTTATTATCCTGATCTTCCTCCTTCCTTAAGCCTCCTGCCCACCCCATTCTCTTCCACCTCCTCTCACACTCCTGCATACACACACACACACACACACGCACACGCACCAAGCCAACTCATGCTACTGAAGCTCCCTCCATTTACACTCACACTCCTCCAGGTGAGCTATAATGCAGCCCTAAGCACTAAGAAGGATTTGGCGTGAATCCTACCCCTGAACCACCAGTGCTTTCTTTTTCCCCCAGTTTTACGAATGTAACATTGACAGCCCTGAGTAAGTTTACGGTGCTCAGCATAATGACCTGACATACAGCTATAGTGAAATGTTTGTGATGTTCCCGAGAACTTACTAGAGAAATTACTTCATTTTGCAAGGTGTGGTGGCAAAAACTATTAGCTCATTACCAAAATCCATGTTCTCCTCATTGTCCTATTCACACAGATAACCACATTTCCCAGTTCCCCTTAGAGTTGGTGTGGCCCTGTGACTGAGTTAGAGCCCATGGGATAGGAATGGAGTTTGGTGTCCCATGGCCATACCTAGCCTACTGAAAACACAATTTACCCTTTTCTTGGGTCTTTGCTCCTTCTGCTACCATGCAAGGAGATAAATTCTGGATGACACTGGAATGCACATGTTTAAGAAAGACATCAGGTCTCTTATCAAGCTAGTGCCTGAAAAGGCTATCATGCCAACCACTTCACCTCTTAATACTGCTATGGGAGCAAAATAGAAACTTCTTTTGTGCTTGAACTGTCAGGTCGCTCTGTAACCTATCTGAAACAGCATATAGTCTTCCCAAACTATTACTGTTAACTACATAAAGAAATACACACCGTTGGTTTTTTTTAATGCTTCCACTAGATACAAGGCCTCTTCTTGAATTCTGTCTTCAATAGTCTTCTTTCCCATCCCCATATTCCGCAAAACCGTCAGGGAAAAACGCCGGGTTTGCTTCCATTTTTCTCCGTTGCTGAAAACAATTCCTATCAGAAGAAAAGTTGGGGGGGTGGGCACCTGAGTAGCTCAGTGGTTTAGCGTCTCCTTTTGGCTCAGGTCATGATCCTGGGGTCCTGGGATTGAGTACTGCATCAGGCTCCCCACAGAGAGCCTGCTTCTCCCTCTGCCTTTGTCCCTGCCTCTCTCTGTGTGTATCTCATGAATAAATATTTTAAAAAATAAAAAAAAATTTTAAAAAAGAGAATGACTTCCATTACCATGAATTCCAGCTGAGAGTCTTTATCTTAGCAAATAATTGCTTATTTATCCACACGTAATAATCCACACGTAAACAGGGTTGTAAATACAGTGGTGCCAGCCACAGGATTTTCCAATGAGCCCTGCTTTACCAGTCTCCTGTTAACCCAGCCTAGGATCTGTCAAGACTCTGGGTTTGACATATTGCTCAACCCTTCTTCATCTGTTGGCTCCTTCAAACCTCAGAATAACTGTGAACCAAATGTTTTGTCTGCATTTTACTGATGATCATGGAGACAAAATGCTCTGTGATCACACAGGTCATTGTGAATCCAAGTATAGGGAAAATTTTCAGGGCTGGTTTCTGTATGTTGTAAATGAATTGTAGGCGAGGCAACAAAAAGAGTCAGTTCTCAAGAGGAGGGGAGAGCGCACTGGAAAGAAGTTCGTGAAAATATATTCCTCCTCATTTTCACATTTCCTCTCTCTGTGTTAAGTCTTTTCCATGGAATATGGTTTCTTTTTTTTTTTTTAAAGATTTTATTTATTTATTCATGAGAGATACAGAGACATAGGCAGAGGGAGAAGCAGGCTCCATGCAGGGAGCCCGATGTGGGACTTCATCCCGGGATTCCAGGATCCAAAGGCAGATGCTCAACCGCTGAGCCACCCAGGTGCCCCCATGAAATATGGTCTTAATACCATGGAAGTTCAGTCAGACATCCAGAGCCACGACAAAATCAGGAGAAAAAAACAATTTTCATAGGAAACTTGTCCATAAAGATTTTAAAGAACAATGTAGAAGAGGAAGTGACCCCATTCAGGGCCTTATCTCTTTTTGCAGAACCTAGTGACCCACCAGAGGGCCAGACAGCATAAGGCCAGCTCCAAAAACAAATGGAAGACAGTTCAATTACTTTAATTTAAAAAGGTAAAAAGGTTTTCCTATTATCACTTGCAATCCATATGTACTCACTATGCTGTTTTCCCTAAACCTCTTTTCAGAGCGTATTTGTACTTTATGCATTGTATTCTATTGGATTCAAATATATCTTAAATTTTTTTTAGGAAAATAAAAGATTGAAGGCAAAGCTGAAAATATCTTAAACCTATGTTGGCTCCATGCATACTATATGAATTTCCTAAAATAGCCTCTTGGCCACCATGACTCAGGCCAGAAAGCAAAATGTTTCGTGACTAGGATAACTGAGTCATTTTCCTCTCTTCTCTTTTCTCTCAGTCTCTTATTATCTTAACTGAAATTAACATTAGCTTAACTGGCCATAATTTAAAATGAACACAAATTCATACAACACTAACAGTGAGATGATTTGCTTCCATTGAATCTACTGTTTCACGGAGACTTTGAGTCCCCTTCATAATCTAAAATATGGATTAATGATCCTTTACAGAAAAATGTTGGAATTATGACGTTTTCATAAATTTCTCTAAATATTTACAATGTCTCAATCCCTTAGGCTGTTTCAGAGTCTTTGCGACATACAAACCCATATACGTTCCCCAAATTGAGACATACCTAATCCCTGTATGGTCCAGTCCAACAATGGGAAATGGCCTCTGCCTGAAAACTCTTCACTCCGATCAATTAGAGCTTCCTTCACCGCTTCATACCCGTACAACACCACGGTAGGCTTCATGCCAAAATACACAGTGAACACAGGGCCATAATTCTCTGCTAGCTGGGAAAGGAATAGGAGGTACAAGAGTAGTAGAATTTCAAAACTAGAAATGTAGGTAAGTGAGGGAAATAGCTTTAATCTTACCAAAGAGGCATTTTAATATTCATTCACCCATTACAAAAGATTTCAACTTCTAGAAATAGTAATTTAATAAATCATATTAAGTGGTAATTATCATTATATTGTTAGAATGTTGCTATTATTATCATCATTACCAACAGTTATCCTTTATTCAGCTTCTACTATGTGACAGGGACTATATTATGGATTTTATTCATATTATTTTATTAGCTTTTATCTGCCAAACCTATAACTGTATCAAATTTCTCCTTCCTTCCTATAGTTACAATAAGTGATGTATTTTTTGTCCTGTTTAAGGGAAATCCCTCCTCTTGCCCCTGTGTAGACACATAATCATCCCTCATTATCCCCTCTCCACATCTTTTTAGTACACAGACTGCTACATAATAATACATAAGGATCTGACAATATAGTCATAGACATTTCCCAGCTTCCCTATATGGCCATATGACTAAGTTTGCATGAACTGCTATTAACAGAAATGATGTGTGCAAATCCTACACTGGGTGTAGGGCATGCATTTAATGGTAAATGCATGCCCTCCATTTCTCCCCCTACCCATGGACTGAAATTTGACAGCAAGGAGATAGCTCCACTGTGTCCATACACATGAGAACAATAGCCTAGGCGCCCAGGATGGTAAACTACAAGACTGAGAAAAACTGGTTCTCTGAATGACCTCAAGGAAGAGAGGCACTCACCTCTATATCATTCTGTGAGACAGAAATAAGTTCCTGTTTTCTTTAAAGCCATTGTGTTATTGAGATCTTTCTGACATGGCAGCTTATTTGGTACACTAAATGATGTAGGACCTATACTCTTTCAACTTACAATTCATTCTCTATAAAGCAACCAGAGCGATATTTTCACGAGGCAAATGCTAACATGAGAGTCGATGACATCACATTGTTCTAATGCTAAGGACCAATATTCTTCTTTTTTTCTTTTTTTTTTTTTAAGTAGACTCCAAGCCCACTGTGGAGCACAACACAGGGTTTGAACTCACGACCTTGAAATCAGACCTGGGCTGAGGGATGCCTGGGTGGCTTAATGGTTGAGCATCTGCCTTCGGCTCAGGTTGTGATCCCAGAGTCTGAGATTCAGCCCTGCATTGGGCTCTTTGTGGGAGCCTGCTTCTCCCTCTGCCTATGTCTCTGCCTCTCTCTCTGTGTCTTTTATGAATAAATAAATAAAATCTTAAAAAAAATCAATGTGCGCTTTTAGGAAAATTTAGTGTTGTGACTGTAAATCAGTAGAACTTTGTTTTTTTTTTTTTAACTGAAAGCAGTTTCATTGCCATTAGAGTTTACCAAAGAATAATTATTAAATAATAATTACTAGTCACATTACAGACAGAGAATTCCTTCTTTTGGAAATTTCAACAATTATCTCACGGATTTATTTTCTGGCAGCCTTCCAGCTGTATACCACTTAAAGTCACATCTGAATATACAATGGACACTTACCTTTCTTTCTTTCTTTCTTTCTTTCTTTCTTTCTTTCTTTCTTTCTTTTCTTTCTTTCTTTCTTTATTTCTTTCTTTCTTTCTTTCTTTCTTTCAAGATTTTACTTATTTATTCATGAGACACACAGAGAGAGGCAGAGACATAGGCAGAGGGAGAAACAGTCTCCTCATGAGCTCCCAGGACCCTGGGATCACGACCTGCGCCAAAGGCAGACGCTCATCCGCTGAGCCACCCAGACATCCTGACACTTCCCTTTCAAACCACTTCTTTAAAACATGGTGTCTGGGATCATATTTTATTTAGATATTGGGCTGTAACTGCAAACAACTGGAAGGAAAGTAATCATACCTACCTTGCTTAGGGATTTGCTGACATTCTTAGTATTTATCTGTAGAATATTTCCAATGATTGGGAGAGGAGTGGGGCCAGGAGGCAGCTTCCCTTTGGCACGATTCTGATTCCACAGAAAGAAAGAAATCAAACAAGAAAGACATATCACCAGAACTATGAAGAGATCCATTGCTGTGCTTTATGTAAATGCAGTTGAAAGTCTGGAATCCAAAGATTTTATAAATACTAAGTTCAAGTTGATTATCAAATATGCACAAAGTCTTTGAACTTTTGGGTAAATAATTATTTTATCTTCAGTGGACTCTGACCCATTGGTAGAAATTAAAACAAAAACAGTCATCTTAGTGTTGATAAATATCTAGGTTTTCAGTAGTAATTTCAACTAAAACAATAACACTTCAGAGATGGTCATATTTTAATAGTAAAATTGAAAGCTATCAGATTTTCAAAGGACTGGAATTCATAATTTTGACAAATGATGAAAGAATATCTTATGTCAAAATTTATCATTACATGAGCAGAAGAAAGAAGCACTCCTAGTGCCTTTTCCCAGAAAATCCAGGAAAAATGAGAATTAAGCTGTGCCGCCACCACTGCTACTGCCACCAGGTCTGCAGCCATGGCCTACTGCCCGCAGGAAGGGAAGGATCGAATCATATTTGTGACCAAAGAGGACCATGAAACTCTCGAGCAATGCAGAGCTGGTGGCTGATGATCCCAACGATCCGTATGAAGAGCATGGATTGATCCTGCCAAATGGAGACATTAACTGGAACTGCCCGTGCCTTGGGGGAATGGCCAGTGGCCCCTGTGGGGAACAGTTCAAGTCAGCCTTTTCCTGCTTCCACTATAGCACAGAGGATGTCAAGGGGTCAGACTGTGTAGACCAGTTCTGGGCCATGCAGGAATGCATGCAGAAATATCCCGACCTCTATCCCCAGGAGGACGAAGAGGAGGAAGAGGAGAAGAAGCCAGCAGAACGTTTAGAAGAGACAGCTGCCACTGAGGCCACTACAACCAAAGAAGAGGAGGGGTCAAGCTAATAAAGGCCACAAGGCACTGGGCTCCAGTCCTACTGCTTCAGAGTGATAAGAACCTTTTGCAAAATGCCTTTTGGTCATTTTCCGAGAAAGTGTCTTTCCCTCTGTTTTTCTGTGCACTATATAATGTACAAAATAACTTATTTTGATGATCAGGGATCTTGGTCCTTTGACATATACACTGGAAAAAATGTATGTGTGTCTCACATAAACCTATCAGCAAATGTAGCTGTCACTTTTGAATTCTCAGATTACCCTGAATTTTGCCACTTTGAAAATAATGTGCTGACTCTACTCAGCAACCAAAAATCATTATCTGAGAGTGTCTTGTGAGTGAGCTGATTTATTCTGATTGATTGTATCCCTTCTAGTAGATTTTTATACCCCTTTGGGAAATGAAATAGAAACAAAACCATCTTCCTTTAAAAATGTTGGACTGGGGCCATTCCTAATACAAGAGGCCAGATGCTCAGATACTTATTTCTCAAGAACCATCTTGACCTTGAGTATATGAGGAGGTACTATATTTCATTTCTGATACATTTTGGTTTTAATTTTTACATTGAGCTCCCATGTTTTCTGTGTTTGGAAATTGGAGCTTTAGACCCTCTGACTCATAATCCCTTTCTGAGTGAAGAGAAAGGCTGGTTTTGCTGTTTGTGTTATTCCAAAAGCCCTGGTTTGGGGCCTGTGTTCACACTGGTTCTGTGTCAGCCTGTTCAGATGCAATGTTCTTGAGAGGTGGGGACCTAATTGTTACCAAAGTAGCAGCTAAGAGAAGTGGTATGAATTAAATAGTCAATTAAAGGAAAACATGATATTTACCTAAAAAAAAAAAAGAGAGAGAGAATTAAGAGACAGAGGCAGGGTAAAAAAAGAAAGGTATAGTGAGGTAGTCTCTCCTAGAGAAGAGGAGAGATATCCCAACTCTCTTGGCAGAGCCCTTTTCCGTATGTCAAGAGTTTTGACACTTAACTCCCAAAGGAGCTGCTGGATCCACAGATGGTAGATAGGAGACAGAAATCCACCAAGTCAAGGAAAGAAATCACTCAAACAGTGGCAAGTCCCTTCGGTGATTTTATCCATCCTTACCCTTGCACATCCATTTCCAGTGAGAGTTCTATAACCAAAGCCTACAATGCTGGTTCTCAGTTAGGCAAGGAAATATACTCTAGTGTTCAATACTATATTTGAAAGTGTCTAGAAACTTACAGATATGAACAAAACTTCAAGACTCAAAAAAGTATTTGAGAAAATCCAATGAGGCATAACCAACATCACACTTAGAAATCAGAACACTAACTCCTAAAGAAGCTAACTTTGAGAAAACAGAAAAAAATATTAAAATAAGTTTAACATCAGAGGTATTAAAACTGTGCCTTCAGGGAGGAGTTAAGATGGCAGAGTATAACAGGGCCCTGACCTTGCCTCATCCCTCAAACACAGATCAACATCAAATCATTTTGAACAACTAGGGAATTGATCTGAGGATTAAGAAAACAAATATACATGATTGGAGGGAGAGGATGTGGCAGATGCAAAGCTTATCTTAACAAATCAAAGCACAACTAGTTAAAGTTCCAAACCCTCCCCACTGCAAACAAGGAGGAACACTGTGGAGGAGTGACCTGTGGGAAAAAGCCGCTAAAACGCAACAATGGGGTGCACACAGCGTATACCAGAACACTTCCTGAAGCCCCAGGCCCCGGACAGTGTATGACTCCTTCTTAATACAGTATTACTCTCAGGAGCAGGTAACATGATAAGCTTTCTTTCTTTTTTTTTTTTTTTAAGATTTTATTTATTTATTCATGAAAGACACACAGAGAGAGGCAGAGACACAGGCAGAGGGAGAAGCAGGCTCCCTACAGGGAGCCCGATGTGGGACTCGATCCCGGGACTCCAGGATCACGCCCTGAGCCGAAGGTGGCACTAAACCACTGAGCCACCCAGGGATTCCCCATGATAAGCTTTCTTAATATACAAAAGACAGAAACTTAGACATATGAAAAGATGGAAGAATTCTCCCCAAAAGAAAGATCAAGAAAAAGATCACAGATAAGGATTTGCTCAAAACAGATATAAGCAAGATATCTGACCAAAAATTTAGAACTACATGGGCATCTGGATGGCTCACATGGTTAAGCATCTGCCTTCAGCTCAGGTCAAGGTCTCTGGGTCCTGGGATTGAGCCCCACATTGGGCTCCCTGCTCAGTGGGGAGTCTGCTTCTCCCTCTCCTTCTGCCTCTCCCCCTACTCATGAGCATGCTCTGTGTATGTGTGTGTGTGTTTCTGTCTCAACTGAATAAATAAAATCTTTAAAAAAAAATTTAGAACTATAGTCGTAAGAATACTAGCTGGGCTTGAAAGAAGCACAAAAGTCACCAGAGAAACCCTGACTGCAGAGGTAAAAGACTTAAAAACTAGTCAGGCTGAAATTTTAAAAATGGTATAACTGAGATGTAAAACTGACCAGATGTAATCACAATGAGGATGGAAGAAGAAGATCAAATATGTGATAGGGAAGATAAAATTATGGAAAATAATGAAGCTGAAGAGGGAAAGAAAACTATTAGATCATAAATATAGACTTAAGGAACTTAGCAATTCCATAAAGCACAATAGTAGCCATATCATGGGAATCCCGGGTGGGGAGGATGGGGAGAAGGTTTATTTGAACACATTATAGCTGAAAACTTCCCTAATCTAGGGAAGGAAACAGATATTCAAGTCCAAGGGGCACAGAGAACTCCCCTCAAATTCAACAAAAACAAATCAACTCCAAGACATATCAGAGTGAAACTTACAAAATACAAAGATAGAGTTCTGAAAGCAGCACAGGACAATGGTCCTTAACCTACAAGGGTAGACACATAGGGTTAGCAGCAGATCTGTCTACAGAAACTTAGCAGGCCAGAAAAGAGTGACATGATATATGCAATGTGCTAAATGGGAAAAACAGGCTGCCAAGAATACTTTATCCAGCAAGGCTATCATTCAGAATAGAAAGAGAGATAAAGAGTTTCCAAGACAAGTGAAAACTGAAGGAGTTTATCAACACTAAACCAGCTCTGCAAGAAATACTAAATGGGGCGAATGAGAGATCAAAAGCAACAAAGACTGGAAAGGAACAGAGACAATCTACAGGAACAGCAACTTTACAGTAATACAATGGCACTAAATTTATACCTGTCAATAATTACTTGGAATGTAAATGGACTCAATGTTCCAATAAAAAGAAAATAGGGTATCAGGGCACCTTGGTGGCTCAGTGGTTGAGTGTCTGCCTTTGGCTCAGGTCATGTTCCCGGGGTCCTGGGATTGAGTCCTGCTTCTCCCCCTGCCTGTGTCTCTGCCTCTCTCTCTGTGTCTCTCATGAATAAATAAATAAATCACTTAAAAAAACAGCCAAAGTAATGTTGAAAAGAAAAGTGGAAAAAAAAAAGGAAAGAAAAGAAAAGTGGGAGGAATCACAATTCTGGACTTCAAGTTGTATTACAAAGCTATAATCATCAAGACTGTATGGTACCAGCACAAAAACAGATACATAAATCAATGGAACAGAATAGAGAACCTAGAAATGGACCCTCAACTCTATGGTCAATTAATCTTCAACAAAGCAGGAAAGAATATCCAATGGAAAAAAAAAAAGTCTCCACAACAAATGATGTTGGAAAAACTGGACAGCCACATGCAGAAGAATGAAACTGGACCACCATAAACAAAAATAAATTCAAAATGGATGAAATACCTAAATGTGAGACAGGAAACCATCAAAATCCTAGAGAAGAAAGAAGGCAGCAACCTCTTTGGCCACAGTAGACACATCTCCAGAGGCAAGGGGAACAATGGCGAAAATGAACTATTGGGACTTCATCAAGAGAAAAAGCTTCTGCAAGTAAGGAAACACTCAACAATACTAAAAGTCAACCACCAGAAAGGGAAAAGATATTTGAAAATGACTTACTGGATAAAGAAAGGGTTAGTATCTAAAATCTATAAAGAACTTACCAAATTCAACACCTCAAAACCAGATAATCCAGTTAAGAAATGGGCAGAAGACATGAATAGACACCTTTCCAAAGAAGATATCCAGATGGCTAACAGACACATGAAAAGATGCTCAACATCACTCATCATCAGGGAAATACAAATCAAAA